TGACACACTAAGTTTTGATTTGTTTTTCCTTGGCTACATTACTAAGTGAGCAAAAGCAACATCTATCTTATTTTAAAGGAGTCGTGATAAAAGGAAGGAATAAACCGATAGAAAAGGATGTTAAAAGAATGCATGTATTTTTAGCACATCTTTTTAAATAGGTATGACAAGTATAAAAACAAGAGTGAAGGGCTTGTTGTTCTTCTCTATGTTCTCACTGACGATAGCATCCATATCAAGAATATTTGACATAGTTTCAACAAGGAACTGTTGCCGTTATCTAACATGGCGATAGATAACGAATCCTCGTTCTATTATGAGCAACGTGCTTGAAAGTGGTTCAACACTGTATGAGTAGTAGTAAAGAAATACTCCGGTCATGGTGGTTTAATACAGTCAACTGTTTCATAAATTTTGTTTTGTATCTTCTTTATTCCAACTAGTCTATTATGTGAAACCAATAGTATCTGTCAATTGTAGCTATTACACGCATACCTTTTTGTAGTCAATTATTAATAAAAAAAATAATTAAGTGTCCACAAACTCGCACAAAATTAAACTTCATTGCAATAGCATTGCATCAAATATTGATTAAGATATTTATAATGTTCTCAAATTAAAATTTTTAATCATTTAATGAATACATACATCTTTATTTTTTTACAAATCAATAAATTCTATTCGATCGATTTTTCCTATTCTCAAGACGAGCGTTTGTTTCGTTGATCAATAATATTGTCCTCTTCTAGTTTTCGAATGTATCTTTCAAGCTCTTGATCTTATTATAATGAAGGAGGTGTGGGTGTGAACATGTGTAAGGACAAAAAAAAAATGATCCATGCACCTACAAACCTCAGTAGTCTAATAATGAAGACATACCAGTGAAGATCATATCATCCAAGTTCAATTCAAACTCTTCAACTACATTACACTGATCTACTCAATCAACCATACATATAATAAGTCATTGAATGATTGCAATGTTTGAACAGATTCAGTCTTGACAGAAGTAGAAAACTCGTACTCAATAATCCTTATGTGTTATGTTGTGTTTAATTTTAATGAACAATCATAATATTTTTTCCGATAATTGTAATTCAAGTAGACGAACAGAACATAAAATCATGCATGCATGTTAACTAAGTAGCTCAACATGAGATTTTCATCGAATAGGTTTGAACATGAAAAACAAATGATTATTCAAATCATTTGAAAATCTGATTCTTAAATGAATAAAAAATTCAACAATTTAAATTTAAAAATAATTCGATTTTATTTTTTTTTGTGTTCTGTTCGAAAATATATATCGTAAATCGACCACTTCAATTCCAGACATAATCAAAAGTGATACAACTGAAATATATTCGCTGTCTAAGATACTTCTTAAGAAAGAAGTCGTACAATTAAGAAGAGATCAACAAAATATTTCTCTAATATATTTTATACTTCACAATCAATTCCTTTGAAATTCAAGATTTTCTAACATTTGAATATCATCAAAGATAAATTAGATTAAACATGTATCAAGAAGCAAACATTGTAATTAATCCATTGTTTTTTATTTAAATATATTTAAAAGCGTAGTATGAGACAAAATTAGGAAAAAAAAAATGAACAATATAATATTTGATCGATAATAAAATAAGATTATAAATGAAAAGTTTTTGTTTTTATGATGATTTCCACGGAAATTTTTCTCCGTTCTTATCTTCGAATTGAAGTTGACTACGTGCATCACTACATATAATCTCGCCTGAATCTCCATCCAATAAAATTAATGTTGGAATACCAGTAATATTAAATTTTTTTCCTAGTTCTTCTTTTTTTTTACGATCTTTAAAATCTAATGTTAACCATGGCATTTCTTTATAATATTCATTAAATGAATTTTCATCACGATCAGAACTTATAAATATTATTTCAAAATTTTTATCTTTTGCATGTGAATTATAAAACTGAACTAATACTGGTGTAAAACCACGACATGGCGGACACCTAAGAAAAATAAAAATAAACTCTCAAAACATACATTAAATAACATATATAACAGAATGACAATTTACCAATGAGCACTAAAATAAAGACCAATTACTTTGCCTTTATATTTTTCATCGTTAAGGTCAATTGATCCATTCGATTTATCAAGAATATGACCATCAAATAATTTTGCTACACCAGCCATGATAGATATTTTTGCGTTTGTATGAACTTCAAAGCAATCAGTTAAGTAATGATTTGTCGTTTTCGTCTTTGTTACAATTCTCTGCTTTTTTTTTTCTCTTTTTCTTCGTTACCTTGACATTGGTAGAAAAAGGAATAAAATAAAAACATGTTTACTGTGTTTGTAGGCTGAGTATTAATCAACGAGAATCTCATTTATTATTTTTTGTATTTATTTTACAACAATTTTCTTTTGCTTTTGTAAGAATAATAATATGAAAGGCTCTCGAACAAATCAGAAGAAATTTATTTTTAGAATCAATAAGAAAAATTCAATTTGATTTTTCTTTTTCTTTCAGTTTTCATGTTTGAGGTCAGAGAGGAGAACAACCTTTTTTTTTAATATTTTCCTAGGGATATTTGTAAATCGAAGGTTGAATTCATTCTAGTGGAAGCAATCGCACTTGTTTCTTTTTTTTTGTTTTGATTGATTAGTGAAGAGACTTTTTTTCATCGTGAAAATCAAACAAGGCTCTCACTTTTCGACGAGAAGTTTTTTATCTGAGCTTCGAGACTAATAGTAGATGATTTCTATATATAAGAATATCTGGACACTTATTATTCATCATTTTCAAACGATGACATTTCATATTTATTGTGTTCCATATAATTTTTTTAATATACTTTATTACGCGGTGAACTCTCACCATTTTGTTTAATTCAATGAAAAAAAAATCATGCAACTAATTCAATAAGAGTTTTATCGAAATGAAGAACTTTGATAATATTGTACCATGTGTCCAGTCAGAACTTATACAGATAAAGAAGATCACTTATAAAAAAAAATATTTCTAAGGATGAGTGGAGTATTCACATTTACTCATAATCTCCGTCATTGTTAAATATAGAGCAGTATATCGTAGTTCTATAAGAATAATTTTATCCAAATACATATGAAATAAGAAAACTTTCAAGAGTGTCTAAAAATGCATCAGGACTAGTTGATTAAATACTATTTTAATTTTATACAAGTCAACTTCTATGAGGCAAGATATGAACAATGAAACTAATATCTGATTAAACAGTATGAGAGGAATTTTTTTATGTATCTAACTGTGATATTAATTAAACATATATGTTGATGAAAGTGCAAATATATCAATGACTAGTTGATCTTTGTTTTATGTAAAGCCGAAACAAAATTTGGCACAGTTCTTCTCTACACACAGATCCATATCCCTACTTTTTGAATTAAGTATTTCATTTGTAACATATAATGGATAAAGTAAAATATGAATGTCTTCATGATCTTAATATACGAAAAAAAAAACTTGTCACCACAGCACGTTTGAAGCTGAAATGTGGAGCTTACATGTTTGTTCTTTAGCTTGATTATACTAATATAAAATATGTTAAAGAGGAATCTACCCGATTTAATAACGGCAGCTTGAGTTTTCGGCTGAATTTTAGATCGAAATTCTATTATCTGACTTTTGCAGAAAACACTTAAAATGGGTCAAAAAGTCAATAGAATTGTCTAAGGATATTAGTGTTTGTCCTCGAGCATGGCAAGTTGATGTTTGAATTCGGTGTCATAGATGTACTAATGATTGAAAAATTCTAGTAAAGATTAGTTATTTCTTAAGGATTTATTTCTCATCTATCAAAAGTGATTGATCGATAGTCAGATGTTTGTTTTTATTATATCAATTTAATATGCGTAGATATTAAGAGTCATCAAAGAATCACATAAAAAAATCAGTAAATAGAAAGATGAAAATAGGAAGAGAGTGTAGATGAATTTGCGTCACTAATGGAATCGGCTCGTGTTTTTTTTGTTTTGGAACAAAAAAAATGTTGCCTATAAATGCATTAACACACACGTCTGTTCATCAATTAATAAATTAAAGAATTAATATTGATACAACAATATTACTTTGTTTCTCTTATTCTAAATATATCATTAAACAAATGTTATTTTATATTAAAAATACGTCAAATATCTTTCAAATTCTTAGTTCTAGAAAAAAAAAACATATAAACTACTGTTCTTAATTTCATTTTGAATCGTACTACTGTTATATGCAAGTAATAACAATGATGCACATTGAATAATTGTTTTATTAAATGAAAGTCATTGAAAATCGTTTATTTTTTTTTCTTACATTTATTTTATGAGAGCTCATTTTATTCAAAATTCTAAGTTTAATATATCGAGAGATCTATCTATAATAGGATAAACTGTTAGAATATTCACATTTTTTTTTATCAGCAATTCGTAAATAGTTTACTATGAATTGTAATGACATCCATAATTTTTAATAGCACTTATATTAGAGGAAAAACAATGATATAACTATATATGAACTTTATAAATAGTTATTAATGTATTCATTTATCATTACATTATAAGTAGATAATGTTTCAAATGAGATATCTATTCAATTTCATATTCTTACATTTAATTTTTGCTACACTTTATATCAATCTTCATTATACAGATTGGGTAAAGTGAAAGTGACAATCATAATGTAATACAATACGATTGTTTACGTATTGCTGCTTCTATTGATGAAGCAAATTTTAATCATGAAATTATATCTTATTGTATGAATGAATTTTCATCAAAATTTCATATCGAAACTAATAATGTCTTTCCAAAGTTTACTTTTGTTAAACTTTCAAAATGGAATATTACTAGTGAACAATTATACCTTTGATCAGCACCAATAGATATTGTTGAACATTATCAATTCTATTCAAATCAATTATCAATATCAAATAATATATTTCTAGAAAAAGAAATTTTCTATAATTGTACACTACCAAGATTTGGTTCTATGTGTCAATATGAAATGACTTATTATCATAAATATGAATATAATCCTACTAATTTTACCTGTTATACTCATTTACAATGTAATCGTGGTTCTTTTCCAATATGTTTGGATTGGAGTGAAATTTGTGATGGACAAGTAGATTGTCTCGATGATAAATTTGATGAAGAATATTGTTGGCAACTTGAAATAAATGAATGTAATGATAATGAATATCGATGTACTAATGGACAATGTATACCGCAGTCATTTTTTCGAGATGATTCTAACATTTTGGTGATATGAAGTGAACCAAAGTTGGCGCTATCCAAACTTGAGTCCAAAATCCATATTTTACCATTTTTACCATATACCACAGAAAGTCATCGATGCACACCAATAATGTATATAATTGTTAAACAAGTCTTTATTAATTATTTAGCACTCATCTTAGTTACTACTAATTATGTGAGTACTTCTCTAATTAGAGCTAATTAGTCTAGTACTAATTACAGTAAACACCTTCCTATATTCCAGAGGTACCTTTAGGTCCTCAAGTCCTATTATTGGAGGGTACCCTTGGGTCCTCAAGTGCTACTATTCGGGGATACCCTTGGGTCCTCAAGTCCTATTATTGAGAGGTATCCTTGGGTCCTCAAGTCCTACTATTGGGAGTACCTTTGGGTCATCAACTTCTATTATTGGGAGGTACCCTTGGGTCCTCAAGGGCTACTATTAGAGGGTACCCTTGGGTCCTCAAGTCCTATTATTGGCAGGTACCCTTAGGTCCTCAACTCCTATTATTGGGGGTATCCTTGGGTCCTCAAATCCCATTATTGAGAGGTACCCTTGGGTCCTCAAGTCCTACTATTCGGGGTACCCTTGGGTCTTCAAGTCCTATTATTGCGGGATACCCTTGGGTCCTAAAGTCCTATTATTGAGAGGTATCATTGGGTCCTCAAGTCCTACTATTGGAAGGTACCCTTGGGTCCTCAAGTCCTATTATTGGGGATACCCTTGGGTCCTCAAGTGCTACTATTGGAAGGTACCCTTGGGTCCTCAAGTCCTATTATTGGGAGGTACTCTTGGGTTCTCAAGTGCTACTATTGTGGGATACCCTTAGGTCCTTAAGTCCTATTATTGAGAGATACCCTTGAGCCCTCAAGTCCTATTACTGGGAGGTATCCTTGGGTCCTCAAGTCCTACTATTGGGGGGGGGGTACCCTTGGGTCATCAAGTCCTATTATTGGGTGTGGGTGTGGGTGTGAATGTAGGTGTGGGTGTGAGTGTGGAGTGTCGTTATGAATAAAATGAATACCTACACGCACACTCACACCTGCACTTGCACTCACACCCACACCCATGCCCACACCCTCATCAGTAAAATAGTAGAACAAAAAGAATATTGAGATATCAGCAAAAATTAGAAATAGTGTATTAAAGGCGTTTTTGATTTAAAAACAAACAATCTGTTTTAGGAAAACATTAGATATAAAAGATTTCATCAGTAATAATCATCACAATCATATAAATAAAGCATCCAGCTTAATATCATATCAACGTTCCGTGTGATGTCATAGATAAAAGATAGGTCAAATTTTCAAGACTAGTTTTCCGTTGAAAACAATCACGCAGTGTTTGTTATAACAATAATGTAGAAAATTTGAAGACGTCAGTACTATCAGAACTTAACTCGCTTTAAACAATTCTCTAGAATGTTTGCCCCAACTAGAGATACATGTTTGGAATCAGAATAAATGGGTGAGCCGTATGATATATTTTTCTCTCAAAATATTCATTGCCCGAGACGTTCGATGAAAGTGCATTAGTAACTTTCGAATCTGCTATAGAAAGCATTCGGCATCGGTCTTTGACATCTGACTATGTATAAACAAGACGGTTTGCATGTTTAGACAAGACTCTTGAAGCAGTTTGTAATTGTTTCTAATAGTTCTAACTTATATACTTCAAGTGTCAATGGTTAACCGATTTTAGACACTCATCTGTCTAAAATTCTCTAGATCGGACAATTTGCACTGATGTTATCAGGCGTTGGGTATCTGTCTTTTCTAGACACTTCAACTAATTTGAGACTTACTGATTCTGGAATGGTCATATAGTCACATATGAACATTACATATAAGAAAAGAAAATTTTAATAAGGTTTTTTTTCTCATAAATCCTTTTGTTAGTTGAAATTCAACCCAACAATTTAATGAAAGAAATTTTTGAGAGTTTAGTGATTTTTCTTCGAACCTTTCCGAAAATGTGGAAAAAATATCATTGAATATTGAAGAAATTTTATTTAGTTATTGGTTAAATTCCAACGCACAATAATACTTACGAGAAAGAAAACATTATCCAAATATATCTACATTTGATGTTCATATGAGATCGTATATCTATTCTAGAATCAGTAAGTCTCAAATTAGCTAAAATATCTAGAAAGAGCAGATCTCAGAGAAATGTACAAGAAGATTTCTGCAAAAACATTGAAGTGCAAAACAACATAAGCATCTTTCACATCTGTCTATGCCTATTACATCTGAAATTCGATCTTGTTTTTCTACTCTATTTGAATTACAATGCATTATGCATCAAAACGCTTTTCAGAAAATCGTGATTATAAAATATATATATATACCAAACGCATATCGACAAACATAATATCATCTGGAAAAAAATAAATTATTAAAAAATTAATGAAATAAAAATAAAAAAGTAAATTATTTAGTTTCATTTATATAACTGCAGAACTATTTAAGAGATACGACTAGACTTAATAACTGCAACATATAACAAAGAATTCACTATCGAAAAAACTGTTCCACACAAATGTAAAAGTTTAGTACTGTATAATTAAAATCACCAAATAAATATTTTATTTTTTACTTTCCATTAGAATTCAAATAATTTTTCAGTTAAATCATCATTGATATATATGTGTACCATAAAAAACGCATTACCAGCTCCACTTAACAATGAAAAAGTAATAATAAGCCAACCGCTCCAGAAATAAAATTGATATCCAGCAGATAACATTGATGAAAATTTACATACTAAAGAAACAGTACATTACTACATTCGGCTTAAAAAATAAAAGAATTCCGTTTTCTTACACCTAGACCTAGTACGAGGGTGTGGGTGTCCGGTGGGTGTGTGGGTATCGATGAAGAGAGAACCCACAACGAATAGTAGGACTTGAGGACATACGAATACCCGCCCATAGTAGGACTTGAGGACCCAAGCATACCACCTAATAATAAGACTTGAGGACCCAAGGGTACCCACCGTAATAGGACTTGAGGACCCTAGGGTACCCTCCAATAGTAGGACTTGACGACCCAAGGATACCTCTCAATAATCGGACTTCAGGACCCAACGATATCCCTCAATAATAGGAGTTCAGGACCCAAAGGTACCCCCAATAGTAGGACTTGAGGACCCAAGGATACCACCCAATAATAGGACTTGAGGACCCAAAGGTACCTCCCAATAATAGGAGTTCAGGACCCAAAAGTACCCCCAAAAGTAGGACTTGAGGACCCAAGGATACCTCTCAATAATAGGACTTGAGGACCCAAGGGTATCCCCGAATAGTACCGCTTGAGGACCCAAGGGTATCCCCGAACAGTACCGCTTGAGGACCCAAGGGTATCCTCCAATAATAGAACTTGAGGACCCAAGGGTACCCTCCAATAGTAGGACTTGAGGATCCAAGAGTACCTCCCAATAATAGAAGTTGAGGACCCAAAGGTACCCCCAATAGTAGGACTTGAGGACCCAAGGATACCTCTCAATAATAGGACTTGAGGACCCAAGGGTATCCCTGAATAGTACCGCTTGAGGACCCAAAGGTATTCTCCAATAGTAGGACTTGAGGACCCAAGAGTACCTCCCAATAATAGAAGTTGAGGACCCAAAGGTACCCCCAATAGTAGGAATTGAGGACCCAAGGATACCTCTAGAATATAGGACTTGGGGACCTAAGGGTACCTCTAGAATA